TATATATATATATATATTGATGTGTATATTGATTTCAGATTTTAAGAAGCACATTCTATGGAAATTAAACAAGGTGTTATATAAATTGGATGCTATTGAAAATAGACTGGATAGATTGCAGGAGAAAGAGCAATCTCCTAATCAATTTTGCAATATCCAAGAAATTGATATTTTGTTGCCTATACGTACAATCGCTGACTTAACGTCTTTTGAAGAACAATTGAAGGAAAGAAAATTTCAGGATGTGATATGTTATATACAAAATGTCCGCAAATTCGTATCTACTATTTACATAACACAATGCATCATAAAGTCGAATCCAAAAGTCCTGTACCATTATTTTCCGCACTGCATAATAAAGTAAAATAAAATAATAATTGTTGATTATACAATTCTGTTAGTCAGCTTCGTTTTTTAGATAAATGCACGTCTGTGAGCCACGCTCCTGATAGTGTACAAAAGATGTAGCACCAAGTGATCACGCATACTACCAGGTTGTTTATGAGCTTGTTTTAAACATGACATTGGTAGATTAGATTTTTATCAACAATTATTACTTTATTAAGTAACATGGGAAATAATGATACAGGATTGTTGACTCAACTTTTCATGAGGATGGCGCAATGTAAATTATGAGCGTAAATTACCGGATATATCTTATACTGTTAATGTACTTTATACTGTTAATATGCTCTTATTTGAAAAGTTGGCTATTTCTTTCAGCTAAATTTTTTTAAACTCGTTGGTGGAAGTACTGCGTGTATAATGATAAGAAATATATTTAAAAAAACAATTACTGATAATGTAGCCAAACATTTCAGTTGGGCTGGTAGGAAAAGTAAACAAAGCTTTAAGGATTTAAGACTTTCTAAAATTATTATACGTAAGTATTTTTTAATATAATTCGATGTTTATTTAATTCGATTTAAAAAGATCTGGCAAAAATACGAGAATATATACTGTTTGAAAATTTTGAGTACAACTAAATGTACAAATAGAACACATCAACTTGAGCAAAAGTTTCCTTACTATTTTTCAAACAACCACGTAAAATTTCGAGATATTAATGAAAAAGATTAGCAAACTAGAAGACGCGATGCTATGAGACGAGCTTTGTAGACACAATCTAATTGAAAATGGCTGAGAATGTTTCTTAGCGACATGCTCACTCAATGCGTCGAGAAATAATTATCTATGCATCGCTCGCATCGTATTATTTCGCCTTTGGATGTCAGTATCCATCCGTGCCAAAAAGTAGTCATGTTTTATCGATTTTTAATGAGATTCGCACTTATAGTTCATATCGTGTCCATATCGTGTTCTGGTTTACCAATCTTTTTTATTAATATCTCGAAATTTTATGTGGTTGTTAGGAAAATGGTAGGGGATTGTTTGTTCAAGTTGGTATTTATACCATGGCTGTATATGGAATTTTCAGACATCTTGTTATATTTCCTTTGACTAATATTTAAAATATATATTGAATAATACTTTTATATATTACAGAAGCTGTTCATATGTCGCATAAAAAGATAGCGACATAACTGAATACGCATCAAAGTAACTTGCTCAAGCAAATGTGAGAATTACGAGAGAAAAAACGGAAGAAAATTTAGAAAAACAAAGATAAAACGTAAAATAATTTTATATTTATTTTCATATTCTTCATGTTCTCAATAATTATTTACATTCATTTTGTTTAT